TCGTATTAATTATGTGTTTATGAGAAATGAAGAATAACTTATTAAAGGTTATCCGTGGCGCCATCTTATAAAAATAATGGAAACTATTTTCACTACAAACTTGGGCGTTTTGCCACCGATGGCGCCACTGGGTACTAAAATCTGCTCACGGAGCGGCTCAGTGAGCGGTGACCTTTCTGGATGCACCATGCACCTAATATGACGCCATGGCCAAAAGGAAAATGGAGGGAGAAAAAGCCTGTTAAAGGTTCATTCTCAAGTAAATCCACTTTGGGGATGAGATCGATTACGATTGTTTATGTATTCTTGTTTGAAACTATAAAAAATGTAGCTTAAATTAGGAAACGAAGGTAAACAAAATTACTTGACAATTGATCGATTATTTCCGATTGTTAATCAATGTGCTGACTCGTCCGTTATGAAGTTAAAACGAAGAAATACAAGTGTATAATTTGTGTATTGCATATCTACGAGGTTGGTTACGCATCATTGCGCATATTTCATGAATGTATTTGCTTGGCAGAAAAATTATCAATAATTCTACTAGCAAAGATTTCGTCGACATTGGTCGATCCAAGCCAATTAGATTACGGAATTGATCAGAATATCGTTCAAACCATTTGCATTGGTTCAAGTTTCTTAGCTTCATCGTTTTGTTGCACTTGGTTTCATTGTAGTCCACATATATGTCCGTATAAGTGAGAAGTGTAGTATAATTATATGTAGCTAGAGTTAAAATTCCTAGTTTATGTATGAGGTACGAAATTTTCGTAATCATTCGCAAATAATTGTTTCTGTGTGCGTATAACGTGGGTTTGCCCTCGTTAGTCGGTTCGTTAGTGCTTAGGAGGCATGTGGCGTGTTCATTAGTTGATCTACTTCGTTTCTTTCCGTTTATGCCTTTTTTCTATCTGTTTTTTTTCTTTGGATTGCACAACTTTCGATGAATTTAAAAGAAAGAATTTTAAGAGTGAAAAGGTAACGTCAAAATACTCGCTGTTTACAAAGAGCATGTCACGTATAGCGTGGAAGGTCTCACTCGCAAATGATGTTTGATACGATTCAACTTTGTGTAGTTGGTTTCTATATACCTAGCAAAGTTGATTTAAACGGTCGCACATATGATTTTTCGATAATTTCGAAAAATTTCTTACGCATAAAGCAGAGTACACGAATAAGGTCGTCTTGTTTTTCTGATTGCGTCAGTTTGTAAATTTTTGTGGAGATTCTCTGTTAATCGCTTGTTGTCGATACGGTGTAAGTTGGATTCGGACGCGTGAGGTATTGGTTACAGATATTATTTTACCTCTCACTTTTTCCTCTTTGACGAAATATTTTCAACTTAAAATTAATGTGTATTCTATGTATCTTCGAAAATTTCTATCAAAGCAAACGATTTTTGTGAAAATCGAACCAATGATCGTTATAGTTGTTCATTTGAATAAATTTATCGTGTTTTACAAATAATGCAGCTACGTAATTGTTTCTATCTGGCACATTTCACGGTAGATATAAGGAAATGCGATACAATTTTTTACCTTCTTGGTTATTTATTTCCTGATTGTTAAGCTATTTCTTTGTATACAACAAAAGTATATGTGCGAGTGATCCAACCTTAACAATACGCAATACCCATTTGGACTTTAATGTTGAAATATACTTTATTATATAATATTTGAGCTTTTGAATTCTTTATTATTTATTATTATAGATGACTATTATTGTACGCGTATAGCACATTATATATGCAAAGTGTAGGTCATGCAGATCGTCTGCACAGTAATGTAATGAATAGCTGTGGGAACTCTAATATTAGCACAAAGCTACGTGGATCTAAGTGTTTGGAGATACAGGAAGAATCTATCGGTAATAATCGAGCTGGAGAGTTAGAGAAGGGGGATGTCAATGTTATAAGCAATTACAGCGCAAACGATTTTAATGCTCCACGTGGCACATTGGTCATCTGTCACAGAAGCTCAAACAATTATTCCTCCGATCATAGTTTTCCCAGATTCAAACCAAGGTAGAATATAATTTTGATCTGCTATCGGATGGTTTTTTTTTTTTACTGTGCACAAATTATTTTAGAGGCGGTGGTGCTCCACGCAATGAATTTCGAATGGCTCGTGGCGGAAGCTCCGGAGATCGCACTAGAGGTGCACTACGGGGCAGAGCTTTTAAAAAGACCCCCATTGAACGAGACTCGAATTCAGAAACTAGCTACTACCCTACAACTCGACTTAAATTTCAAGAATCGTTGAAGAATCAGGAAAATTCTCAGGGAAAATATTATGACGACAAAAGAATAAATGGTTTGAAACGCTATTTTCAGAAGTATTTAAAATACGTTTGTATTCTAATTATACTAACAATCATTTGTGAATCTTTTACAGAAGATTCTAGAATTTCTAAGCTTTTGAGGAGATTGTGTCGGGAAGATGACTATGATCATTTTATGGTGCTGTGCAAGCAAGCACAGGAAGGTATAATAGCATCAGAAAATCAGAGATATATAAGGCGAAATTTGGATGTTATCTGTGAAAGCCTATTGGATGTATTACATACAGGACCTGGACCAGAAGCAAAGCAACAAGTCGCCAAGTGTCTAGGTCGTGTTGGGTATGCAGCTGAACAAGACTTCAAACGGTAAACAAGAACATACTACAATACAAATTAGATTTATTTTGGTTTAATCTAATTATTCAATGTATACTTGCAGATATATGGATTGGGTTTTCAACAAGTATTCATTGGAAAGGAAGGATGACATAAAGTGCCTTTTGATTAAATCTTTCGTCGAAGTTTTTAAAATTGACGCGGAGGCACCAAGGCTAAAAGAATTCTCAGTGGTATTTAAATTCCTCTTTTTATTGAAAGAGAGGCTGTTTTCTGTCAAATTGTTTCTATGATGTAATGAATAAAGCATTGCGCGTATTTTTTCGTTTTATTTTCAGTTGATGATGTCGCAACTCCAATCAACGCTAGAGAACGTCGATCGATCGGATTTATTGGTAGCAACTGTAGATGCGATATTGTTGATAATGGAATCTTATCCTGAAACATTTTCGAACCATTTTCGCGATACAGTTGACATATTGGTCGGCTGGCACATCGATTCGACTCAGCAAAAAGCAATTGCTAGCTACGCTAGCCGTAGTTTGCAAAGATTGAGAACATTTTGGATAGCAGATCTGCAATTCACTTTAACATTATTAGGACAATTTTTAGAGGACATGGAAAGTTACGACGAGGAATTGACTTTACCAGAATCGGGCAGGAGTTCACCTGGAGACGAAGTATCACCGACACCCAGAGAATCTATTCTTCGTATCACGTCTCTGATATCTGTTTTCAACACAGTCACAAAAAGCATATCCGAGCATTTGAATCCGAATCTCACGCCGAATGTTCAATGGTCGTTCTTATCCGATTGTTTGTCGAAAATGTTGAAAACAGTTGTGAAAGCGATAGAATTGGACGATTGTAACAAAACTTGGCTTTCGAATTTCACCGTTACACCTGTGACTGCCGATGAATTGTTGAAACTTCTTAGGAATACAAGCACCGTTTCGACAAATTTCAACAAATCCGAGTTAAACGAGGAGGATGTCGTTAAAATGTTCAAATCGTTAAATCTTGATAAGAACAAGCTGAACAATTTGAAAAAGAGCATAGAAAAGGAGACATCGTCGAAAGAAAGAGAACCTTTATTAAAAGTCGTACGTTGGATGGAATTGAAAGGAAAAAAGAAAGCTCTGGATTTAACCGAGGAGAAGGAAGAATTGATAGTAACCGCAAATGAATGCGCTTTTCTGTTGTTGGGGCATCTTCAGAGTCGTATAACGAAAAATCACGAATTACTCTACAAGTTTATCGACTTGCAGCTGAAAAGAATCAACGTGTTTTGGGATGACACGATCATTTCCATGTTGAATACTATCTCGAAAGTAATAAAAGAAGTCTCCGCGAACCTGCCACTGGAATTGGTGCACAAATTGCTTGGGAAGGACTCGGCGCTACTCAAACTGAGATTCCGTGATTCTATTTCCATTCAGAATGCCAGTCTTGGAGTGTATCACAGTTTGCTCAGTTTGAAAAATATTCCATTACTGCAGGAATCGTATCGGTACATATTGTCAGATTTGGAGATTGCTTACAAGCTTGTCTTAGCGGATATCGAAAGTTTAGTTGCAGACAATCCGTTACTCGACGATATCAAATATAAAAAGAGCGACGCTGAGATCGTGGTTATTTTTCTGCTACGAGCTCTATCCGATATAGGTAAATGTACAAGCGCGTTTACGTTAAGATAAAACCGAGACGATACGAAATGATCGATTCGACGAAAGATAATATCTGATACACTTGTGCGCAATGTTTTGCAGCAAATGCGAGCAACTCGATCATCGGCATGTGGGCGTTGAAACCAAGCATTTTGGAACTGTTGGCGGTGAAGCTGAAGCCGTACGAAAGTAGCTTGTCTATGAGTAGTCCGTTCTTGCAATATAGTATCTTGTACTTGCTATACGCTCATTGTTCCAGGTAAAAGGCATAAACAGAGTCTAAAATCATTGTCCTGATCGGCGCGTTACCGTTGCATCTATTTTCGTTTCAGGTATAATCACTTTGTACCGAGTTCGAGCTTGATAACTGGAACTACTACCTGTCGTCCGATAGATATGTTTCCGGGTGCCCTGGATGTACCTACAACGTCGCCAACCAGTGGACATCTCTCCATTATTCTCAATTTAATAGCGAAGAGTTACAAAGAGTACACGCCAGAACAAACGTTATTGTTGTTGTCAACGTGGATGCAAGAAATTTGTGTACAATCTGAAAATTATATCGGTATACTGAGTAAAACGAAGGAGTACGAGAACGTTCTCGCGAGTCTCGTTGCCAGCGGAGCTAGTATCGACCGTGACATTTCCATCACCGTTTGCGAACTCTTGGAGATGTTAGTGAACGCGAAGAACGTTACGTGGAGGGAAGAAATCTATTCGTCCATAGTGGATTTGGCGACGTTACACTTAACTTCGTGCGACGAAGTCGTTCGGGAAAAATATGGCTCGTTCTTAACATGCGTACCTTTGAATATAGTAATACCGAAACTCAACAAGGAATGTTTGCTATCAGAAACGAAGGTAAGATGAGGAACTCTTGAAATATACCGGACGATTCTGATTATCGATTTATTTTTTTATAGAAACATCAATGGATTAAGAGTTATTCAACCGAATCAGTGGTTCTTGCCCAGAGACTACACATGCGAGGGAATAGTAACGGAGAGATGCAAGCTCAACACTTTAAGACTTACATGGCTTTCCTATTGCAAGAACAACAATTGGATGCCTTCGGGTTGTCAGAGATGTTTACGCTGTGCTGGCCGATCGTGTAAGTATGGGTTACTGATAGAAATGGTAGAAGACTATAAAAAAAGTAAACGAGAATTCAGGGAACACGTTCAACGCATACTCTGTCTGTATTTATAGGTCTGAGAACGAGACCACGAGAAGGATGTACCGATTAGGGCTCGCAAATCGATCGTTCCTATATTTTTGGGCCGGCTTCGAAGCGGCTCAGCACTGCGTGACCAACAAGCTTCGTACACCATTGGGTAAGCCGCAAGAAACGTTCACGTCGATCGAAAGCGCTTTGAAATCATTGGCGCGGGAGATATCGTATAATATGGAGACAACAAGAAAGGAGAAACGAAGCCTGGATCATCTTTTGAACGAACACACCCGTGTACGTCTGTTAATCGAATTCCTTGAGCACCTCGAGAGAGCGATACACAACGCGGCAGAAGGTTGCGCGATCGCTCTGTCACCACTGTCCAAACCAGTCAGAACCTTCTTCCGTACGAACAAGTCTACCTGCAAGGAATGGTTGAATCGCATTCGACTGGCGCTGTGCGTAGTGTCGTTGCATTCAGGACTGGCTGGTAGCGGTTTGAGAAACAGTCAAAGGTTGTTGGAAGATTTGAGCAACAGCGATAATACGCAGGGTATCGAATTCGAAAGGGCGACTCTATGCACGGCGCAAGCAATGATGATGTTGGGGGAGGCGGAGGCGTTGCAAGGACTTTACGTTTACACCAAGGAAAAAGAAAGAAAATTCCCGTGGTTGAAAGCTGCGATGGAAGAAGCTGCGAATCGCTACGAATCCGCTGCCGAGGCCTATAAAGCGATCATCGAGGAGCAAACATGCGCCGCGTTCAGTCGATCGGGAAAAGATACAGAGCCAGAAGAAGAGGGAGAGGACGAAAGCGACGGTTGCGTTGGTGGTGGTATCGGCATGGGTATGGGTATCGGTATCGACAGCATTAACGAAAGCGAAGATCCTTCCTCGATCGACGGTAAAGGAAAAAACGTTAAATCAGAGGGGGACAATCAGGTACTTGGTTTTTGCATGCAACGGCTGTCCAAGTGTTACGAAGCGGTCACCGATTGGTCTCGATTAGAGGCATGGAAGCTGCAAGAGGCCGAGATGTTTTCCCGCGAAAAAAACTCAATCGTCGGACACCAGACACCGATAGAGAACGCTGATTGTCGACGAGCGAGGTGTTTAAAAATGTTCGAAGCTGGCGAAACGGTGTCTCTCGATGATCTGACTGACTGGAATTTATTGGAGAACGGAACCGGGAAAACAGGAAATTGGAGCTGTGCGAAAACTCTGGTAGAATGTAACAACACGTTAATCAATGTAGCACTCAGAATTCACGCGAACAATTATCAGGATCATTTCGAAGAGGAGATAGAACGGTGCCGAAGAGTGGCGTCCAAAACCATGGAAGAGGGATTACGAAACGTACCTTCGGAATATTTAAACGAATCGATACTGATACGATATTCGACCGACGGATTGAAAAGCTTGTTACTGTCTGGTCGAGAAGAGAACACGTTCGAATTGTACAAGACCGAGAAAATCGATCGCATGGATTCGAACATTCTGACTCGTATTCTGTGGTGGTCAGAGTACTTCCGCAATGCAAGGGAGAAGGACAGCTCAAAAGCTCGTCCAGGTACCGTTCTGTCAAACGAGGTATCCGATTTAAGATTGCATATCGTTCGAACAGCCAGAAAAGAAGGTAACTTTAAATTGGCGAAGCGAGAACTTCTCAATTACTTGCGTTCCGAATGGGAGATCTTTAGAATCGATGAAGGAAAGGGCAGTGGACGATTCGATCGCGTCGACCTGGACTTTGATCGGGTCACCGACGATGTGCTGAAGAACGTGATGCGTGTCAAGTGGTCGAAGAACAACATGCGCGCGTTCCGCGAATGCTCGAAATTGCTGTACGACATGGGACGCATCGATAAAGCGTTGAAAGTTTGCAGCGCGACCGCGCTTGGAATATCGCGGGCCATCATCGACGGGGAACGCTCGACTGACTTGAGAGAGAACGGGACGAGGCTTCTGCTCACTCTTGGTAAATGGATACAACAGGAAACGGGGAAAACTGAGAACAATCAGCTGGATCAGTTATTGGAATTCGAAGCTGTGCACAACGACGGCTTGATGAACAAGTTGTTCGGTCCTACCACAGACTCGATACCAACTTCGGATATGATCATCGGTAGATTGATGCAGCTCGGTGTGAATCAATGCCTTGATTTACCAGTCGCGTGGTCCAGCTTCGCGGGCTGGTGCTACAAATGGGGGCGGAAAATCGTCGACAATTCGAATTCAGGTCGACTGACCGACTTAGACAGAACGACCATAAGGGATTTGCTGCCCTTCGATACGGACGAGACTGACTTGATCGCGATCTTTTCGATTTTGAGTCAAAGCAAAACGATACCCGAAGACGAAGGCGACATCGCGGACACGTCCAACGACGTCAATACGTCCGATATGATCGAGAACCAGCTGCGAAACGTTCCCATACTCAGTCGAGCCAGCTCTGATCGTCTCGCGATGCTTGTCGATATCTGGAAGCAAGCGCAGAAACGAATTTATTCATATTACGAGCTCTCAGCGAACGCGTACTTCAAGTACTTGCAGCTCGCCGCGAATAAGGAGACCAATCATTGCGACACTATCACGGCTACGCTTAGATTGTTGCGACTGATCGTGAAGCATGCTCTTGAGTTGCAGAACGTCCTCGAGTCTGGACTTTCGTCGACCCCGACGGCACCGTGGAAGGAGATAATACCGCAGCTGTTTTCGAGGCTCAGTCATCCCGAATCTTACGTTCGGACTCGAGTCTCGGAACTGTTGTGCAGGATCGCGGAGAACTCGCCACACTTGATTACCTTTCCTGCGGTGGTGGGAGCAGTCTCTGGCCAAAGGAAAACCTGCGACAAGGTCCTGTACGAGAAAACAGATGGTGATCGGTCCACTAGGAACAATTTAGGCTTCATCGAAGAGGAGGGCGAAGAGGAAGAAGAGGTAGTCGTGGAGGAAGAGGAAGAGGAAGAGGACGAGATAGCCGAAAGTTCTTCTGGGGGATACCAATATCAAGACGAACACGAGAAGTTTATGGACTGTTGTTTTTCGCAATTGGCCGACTGTCTCTCAAACAGAGTTCAGGATTCTGTTGAGCAAATAAAGATATTGGTGAAGGAGCTGCGTCGTATTACGTTACTGTGGGACGAGCTATGGCTAGCGACTTTATGCCAGCATCACACCGAGATTTCCAAACGATTCGAGCAATTGGAAATCGAGGTGCAGAAGGTGCAGGATAACGTTTGGCTGTGTGCCGAAGAGAAGGACACTTTGATCGCAGAAAAGCATCGAATCATATTGAAGCCTGTAGCCTTTATATTGGAGAATCTATCGGCCATGACCTCCGTCCCGGCTGAAACTCCACACGAGAAGAATTTCCAGGAGAAGTTTGGCCCTTCGATCGAGGAAGCGATAAATAAGTTGACCAATCCCAAGAACCCCGCGAAGCCTCAAATCGCCAGTCTGTCTTTGAAGCAACTGGAGAGCAAATTGGCGCAACGCGTGCACAGACGTGCTGCTTATTCTCTTTCCATGAACGATATCAGTCCAGTCTTGGCAAACTTGAGGAACACTTGTATCACGATGCCTGGTGTAGCCGCCGTTGACAATAAAATCGTCACCATTCAGTCAGTCGATAATAATGTTCAGATATTGCCGACCAAGACCAAACCCAAGAAGCTCATATTCCATGGTTCCGATGGACACGTTTACACGTACCTGTTCAAAGGGCTGGAAGACCTCCACTTGGACGAGAGAATTATGCAGTTTTTGAGTATATGCAACACCATGATGTCGAAGAAGGGAGAGTCGAAGCAGGTGTACAGAGCACGCCACTACTCGGTTATACCTCTGGGTCCGCGATCAGGCCTCATACAATGGGTTGACGGGGTCACCCCCTTGTTTGTTCTTTACAAGAGGTGGCAGCAAAGGGAAAATGCTATGACCAATAAAACCGGTAGCGCGGCGATCTTGCGACCGTCCGAGCTGTTTTATAATAAACTGACGCCATTGTTGAAAGAGCGAGGAATCGCTTTGGAGAATAGAAAAGAATGGCCCGTCCAAATTTTGAAGCAAGTGTTGGCCGAGTTGATGGCCGAAACACCCAAGGATTTGTTGGCAAAGTTAGTTTTTAAAAAGTTTCATTAAGTTTTGCGTACATCTGGAATAGTGCTAACAGATTTTCTTATCTTCGTCTTTGCAGAGAGATTTGGTGTAACAGCATAAGCGCCGGCAGTTGGTGGCAAGCAACCAAAAATTATTCCTACTCGGTCGCCGTGATGTCGATTATCGGCTACATCATCGGTCTCGGTGATAGACACTTGGACAACGTCCTAGTCGATCTGAATACGGGAGAGGTTGTACATATCGACTACAATGTTTGCTTTGAGAAAGGGAAAACGTTGCGTGTCCCGGAAAAGGTGCCTTTTAGAATGACCCCGAATATTAGGACAGCGTTAGGAGTAACCGGTGTTGAGGTAAGACAATCTGTTTAATGACTTGAACAGTTTGCGCAACATTGCAATCTGCATATATATTAACAAACCGATATTGTTTTTTTTAGGGTATATTCCGTCTAGCCAGCGAGCATACGCTTAGAGTAATGCGGCGAGGACGCGAAACGCTGCTGACTTTGCTCGAGGCATTTGTGTACGATCCACTGGTGGATTGGCGAGCTGGAGCGGACAACAGCATTGCGAGTTACGGGGCGTGTCAAGCTAGAGCAAGGTGTACAGGTATAGGAAGAAAACAGTTGGAGCAGGAGCTTACACGGGCAATGTTTGCCGTTCGAACAGCAGAGATGCGTGCCGAATGGTTGGCAAATAGGTTGGTAAACGATAATCTGCGCTTAGTCGTATTCTCTCTTCTTCGAAGAAACAACTTCTAGTTCCTATCTTGATTACCCAGACTAACTGCCAATTTGTTGACTCGTAGGGATGAACTGATGAAAGTGTTTCCGGCTCTTTGTCACCGTTTGAGGTGTTGGGTAGACACGATCGAAGCCACACGTCAGTGTCAAGATTTGCTACAAGACAGGCACCAACAGCTCGCTTTGGTTAAAGAAGCACAGGCAATGGGACGCAACCATCCGTTGTACTCTGTGATTAAGCGGTACAACTCTTTCAAAAGAGCGCGCGATGCTCACGAAAAGGCGAAAACTGGATTAAAGGAAAGAATAGATGATTGCGAGAAACAAATTAATATGCACAATGTAAGCAGACTTTATTTCGTCGTTTATCAGAGAGTTTTATGGGAGAAATGGTCATTTTCATTCATTTATCTATTATTTTTGTCTCTTCAGTTGGCACTTTCGGCGGTAAGGGGCCTCCAGTTGGGGCAGTGGTTGGCAGAATTGGGAACGTCTGCAAGTCAAGAGGACCACGTGGTGTTCGATTTAGTCAAGGAATTCTTACAGAACGCTGGTCAAAGTCAAATGATCCTCCAGTGCGAGCAATCGGAAAATGAGCTAACGCAATTAGCCACTCAACAGTCGATTCTAATAAGAAGTTGCTTAGATCTTCTAAGTCAGTATTCGGCGATTTGTAGGCTGTATCCTTTGAGCATCATGTCGCAACATCGCACAGTTCTTTACCACGGTTGGGCTAATGAGCTTCTGAATTCGGGAAGCGTCGAAACTTGCCGCGAAGTCATGGCACAGTTTGAAAATACTTTCGATCCGATAAAGAGCTCGAATAATCAGCAAGTGCAACAAATAATAGCGTTCTCTTATCAGATGCAAGGGATCCTGAACGAGGCCAACGAGAGACTGAAGAAGGCGTACGAAAGAATGGTCGCGGAGGGCTTGCCAGAATCAATTAGCAGAATAGAGAAAGCGTACGCAGAGTCGAGATTGCAGATACAGAATTTCTTAAGACGAGAAAAGGGAGCGGAAAGAGCGCTCGAGTGCGTCAATATAACTGCTCTGTGCGCCCTGAATAAAAGATACCTGATGATGGAAGGTGCCGCAAAGTGTGCGGGTGATTGTTTGGTCGATCTCACGTCCAGAGAAGGTGACTGGTTCTTGGATGAAATGCGTCTGATGTCGTCCTTGATCGCAGAGTTGGTCAGCTTAATACCCGAGTGCCATAAAGCGAACAACGACTCTAAAATATCTCTCGTACTCAAGTGCTTGAGGGGGTCCGATTGCATCTACAAGGGGCTGCAAGAGCTTAATTACAACTTTCACACTATCATTCTACCAGAAGCGATGAAAACAATTATAACGGAAGAGCCAACTGTGATCAGAATGATTGGTGAACTGACAGAGATCATCGTGTCGCCTGGTGTACCGCTCGGTGAAATTTTAGGACAGCTGGAGATGCATTTAAGGTTTACCGTTATGGAAATGGATAGTCCTCACGCAATGATGCAAGGTGTCGTGAATAACATGAGATTACGTTTCGAGGCGTTGCTGTCTCGACCAGCCGAGATTCAGGAATCGAACCAAGATGAAACGCTGACACCTGGTCAGATGCTGTTGATGGGCTTCAACGGATTATTCGAGAAACTCCAAATGGAAGGGAACGCGTTAATAGCTACTCTGAGCACGCTCGAAATTCCAGGTGCTTGGAGAAAAATCGATCAAATTCGGGAAGCGAAGGAAATGTCCGCGCCTATATTCAATAAAGCTGCCTGCCAGGTTCTGGAAGACATATTTCTGGTTAAACGATTGCACACCATACAAGAGTTTTTCATGATGTGCAGAGATATCGCGACCGCGTTTAAAGGCGGTTTAGCGAATGTTTACGACGATGAAAGATTAAATAAACCGATAAGAATATTCACAGCGGATTATGTGTCGAGACAACTGCTCGGGGTTACCTCTCAAACACTTGCAATCGCTCTTTGCCTCTTGCTGCAAAGAATGGGTTTGAGCGTTACTACCGAGATCGAGCAGAGAGACATAGGAGCCGAGAGTAAAGTCTCGCTGGAGGAATTGTGTAGAAAAGTTGTCGATCTGTGCTTAAAGAGAGGATCATTCTCGGGATCCGTGCTCACGCAAGCTAGCGCGCTTAGTAGCACTCTGGAGAGCACTTGGCGAAGGAAACAAAGCAGCAGATTGGCGCAGCAAAGCGTCGAGGCGGCGAGAGCTAGCATGCAGAGACTTCAACTGCAGCTTACTGCTCATCACTGGTTGCACGAAGACAGCTTACTCTTACGGTCAAACCTCAATCTAATGAATCCTTTAAGTAAGTTACATTTAATCGCACTCTTATGTTTTTAACGATACCTAATTTCTTATTATACATTTCTGTTGCTTTTAGATCGTTCAGCGTTCATGCTGGAATTACGAAAGACAGCCTCGGCGCTCTCCGGTCTACAGTCTCGCGTGTGCGAGACACGAGAGCAACAGCAAAATCTAGTCTCTAGCGCGGTACAACGTTTGAAGTGGGCTGCAGGAGCGAATCCCGCTCTTGGGGAAGTAATGTCCGCGTTCGATAATGCAGTGCTTTCCTCCTGCGAAAAATTGACTCGACAACAGAACCTTGCGTCCAGTGTCGTTAATACGTGCAACTCCATATTGCACTACGAGGCTTTAAGGACTAGAACGTCCGAGAGCGTAACACACGACGCAAATTTCGTCAAGCTAGTGAAGCATTGGGAAGAGAGCTGTATCTTGACCATGAATCTGACCATTACCGTTACCGCGATCGAAGAGAGCCTGGTCGAATTGTTGCAAATGGATTGCAACGTCGATATAAATTGGTTGAAGCACGCGGAACGGTTCATTTCTGAGGCGATAATAGACGTTCAAAAGAAACTCCAAGAGAGGCAGGAATGCTTGCTCACCGCTCAAGAACTTTTGCGGGAGCAGGTTAGAAACTTGCAACTCGTGTTGACTGAACACCACATACTGATGTGGGACGTACGAATTTTGTTGCGGACAATGGCGAAGCAAGAGAACATCGACGGGTTGCAAGAGTTTCTCGCTTCGTATCGTGCCTTCACCGAAAGCGTGTCAGCGATCGTGAAGGAACTCGAATCCGACACCCTTGACGCAGTCAGAGGTACAGCGATTAAAGAAGATTTGGAGAACATGGCGGTTACGGTGCCAAATTTGTACACTGAATTGTTGGAGTTTGCGAACGAGAAGAAAGCGAATACGACGAGGCTGCTGGAGAAACAAAAAGAAATCGAGAAAGCGAATGAAAGAGGACGGGAAAGAGAGAACGAGACTGGGACCGAGACTGCGACTGAGAACGAGACCGAGACTGAAACTTCGGCCGTCGTTGTGACAAAGAAGAAAGGGAAGTTGATCAGGCAGGAGGGCGTGTGTTACAGCCCGAGAAAAGGAGTTCCGTTAGCCAGGGATCCAACTACGGGCAAAGGTAAGATCACTTTTTGAGGGACATCGTCGTTCCCTATCGTCGCTCATTCTTTTTTTCTTTTTGTATTTTCGTACATACAGCTGTCCAGGAACGGAATGCGTACGCGCTGAACGTTTGGCGTCGCGTACGAATGAAGCTGGAAGGGCGCGATCCACACGCGACACGCAAATACACCACAGCCGAGCAGGTGGAATACGTGATACGCGAGGCTCAGAGTACCGACAATTTAGCCCTCCTGTACGAGGGTTGGACACCGTGGGTCTGAACGAAAGGAGGTTGACGCGATCGCGTCGATGGTTCAATGCTCGTTACACACGGTACTAGAGTTCGTACCGTCCTTCGCTCTACGCTCGATGGAGCCAGCTCTCTGTTCGACCAGGTGTGAAGTAACTTCGTCGTCACCTGGAAGAGAAAGTCTATGCCCGCAAGGATGCCGTTCAAGTTCGGCAACGCGCGCCTAAATACAAGGAAAAATCATGCGCGATCAACGATTCACGATCGAACTTCGATTCTGGCACCGATTCTATGATTATCTCAAAAATCTCTCGTCAACACCGCGTACCCGTGCGTTCTACAGAGATCCGTTTCTTTCTTCCTAGTTTCCATTCGTCCACGTATACTTTCGCCCACACTTTCTTTCATAAGGCGACCAATCCAACCAACTATCAAACAGTCATCCTTTAAAAGTGGACAGATACACAATACGTAAAAAAAAAGGCAAAATCAAGGAAAGCGCTAGCGGTATTTATCATCGCCATACGTAACGATAGAGGTACGCGACGGTCGAGATAGAGAGAGAACCGAGATACATGCCGCGACTTTTATTCAGTCTGCTGTTTGTTGACGCGTTAGGAATGACTGATGTTTAAATGTCGACGATAGATTTGGGAAAAGCATAGAACCTGTCGCATCTTTGGAATAACGAGACAACGACTGGAAGTTCAGTCGACGATGCGGAGAAACTCGATGGCGATTAACGCGTCGACGGTGACGACACTCGAGACTCTAACGAGAATATCTACGACTCGTTGTCTGCCACGGACGTTATTTGTTCGAAGAAACGGCCCTTCTCCGAGGTTAAATTCATTTAATTTCCTTATTCGCCCATAAAAATCCCCTAGAATTTTAGCAAACGCATCGGTCGGTCGGGATCGAGTTTTACGACTGTAAATCAATTTTGGGAAACGTATGCATAATCCTCGGTTAGCCAGTGGTTAGATTTAGAGTTTGAGAAGTTAACAGCGGGACCAACAGGGACGTTAGAAACGATCCAAGGATTCATACAATTGGGTATACTGTCAATATCCGTCTTTTACTTTTTTCAATTGGGGGCTTCATGTGAATTTGAATCTGAATATATGAATCTAAATTTTCCATCGGTAATATAAACACGTCGATGCATTCGACAATACGTTGGATTCTTATCATTGCAACTATAATAATTTCAACGCTTGGCAGGTTATCCGCTTGAATACATTGTATGTAAGGGTTATATGTGTTATTCGATGAAATCTGCAATTTTAACGTTTCTTCTCATAGAGTGGACAATCGTCTGTTCAAGTTGTTTTCCATTGTTTTCTGTAATAATATTACGTGATTAACGATAATACCATTGCGCCTCTATAGCAACGGTCGTAATAGTCGATCACCGATCTAAAAATGCCCGTAATAGAAAGAACGCCGAGTAGAAAACATTAATGTCGCTGCAGATATTTAAGAGAAAGAACTTTTTTCACATGAAAGGTAAAAATGCGTTAATCAGAAAGAGTGGTCGACCGTCTCGCGTTTTTCTCTTTTTCATTAATTTTTTTTTATTTTCATTTGTTACGAGGGAAAGGACCATAGAGAAGGTCGCACTTTGTAACCAATAAAGTTTCGGGTACATATAAAAATGATGGATAATGATCTATTCCCTTCGCTTAAATTAAACTATCCAGAAACATTCACGATTCATTTACCTTGGATCTCTTGTGTCTGGTACGATACACCATCATTCGTCACTCTGTTTCCTTTCGCTGACTTGTGATCGTCTTCTTTGCACCTTTTCAATTGTACGTTTTTAGCTACCTTATTTTTGCCAATTTCCTCACTATTCAATCTTTTCATATCTCCGTCCTTTCTTTCCGATACGTATTATTTTTATTGAATATCTGTATCTGCCTACCTACCTGCCTGCCTGCCTGTTTGCTTGCTTGCTGGCTGCCTGATTATGCTATGCACTCGCGTATATATACGCGTGTGTACTGATTTATACGTCCATAAATTTCTAGTTTCCGACTTCTAATTTAAAATTAGAACCTTAAATTTGTAATGTTCTGACATCTCATTTGTAATTACAAAAAAAGATACCATTCTCAGTAAACGAACGTAATTTTTTAATAAATTACATTGTAATTCAATTGTATATTACAATATGAGAAACTTTAAACGATATATTACACTTCATATCACATTGTTTGTCTTCTTACTCTATTTGTACACGATGTACGTGTATGCGCGCATGTACATATGCAACGGAGATTGATTTGAACGATTACTCGTCAAATGATCAATCATCGACTGACGACAGCGATGACTGTAGAGTGAACAAAACCACATACTGCACCTTTTGCAATTTTACACAACCATTAAATAACTGAAATGTAAAATTGAAAACCGTGGATCGTACTTATGAATAACCGAAAGTTCGAATTGTTCAATTTAATCAAACGACAAGCTCGAATCTCCTGAAAATATTCACCATAAAACATATAACATTCTTTTACCTAACCGGATCGACCTGTTGCGATATTTAAAATAATTTTATACAGATTACTAATCTGCGTCTTTAGCTCACTATCACTTCCTATCATTTTTAAGCAACATCGACGATTTCGTTGTAATAAATAACATTGTTTAAGAACGCGTCGTCGAATCTATGCTTTTACAAACTGCTGGTACCACGCGTACTGTCTATCAAACTTAAATTAATCAACGGGGGCGTTCTAATCGCGAACAATTTCAAGTGTCTCGTTTCAAAAGTTCATCGATCTGCGTTTTGTACATTTCTTTAATATCAGCGAGATCCAAACGCAATTCTTGATTTTCCTCCATTTTCTCACCGTACATTTGTAACAACGCGTCGTATCGTGTTTGTATCTCCTGCAAACTTTCATTTAAAATTGTAACGTTCGATACTTTATTATTTAATTCTTCGATCTTTAAGGTTAACGTAGACAGTTCAGTGTTGAGCGCGTCTCTCTCCGTGTTACGACGCGATAACTCCCACTGAAGTTGCTGTATTTCACCTACAAACAAAAATATGGATCCACTTATTTTCTTCAAGCACGGTAACAAACATATGATCGATAAAATTAAACACACTTTATTAATATATGTAGAAACATACCGTCTTTTTGTTTCAGTTGCGACTGCAAATTCTCAAATATGGAAGTGCTACTCGATCCTGCTCTGATCCTACTATCGTACCCCATCGCGTATCTTTCAGAACTGTCTTCGGTAGCAGAATGGTACAACTGGAATCAGAATAGTTCTAAGTTATGTTACGTCAAAATTAATCAGTCGGTTCGTTGTGTTATAAACAAATTACCGGCCAAATACTGTTTATAGCGTTTATTGAGTCTTCCTCTTCAACAGTGGTAGAACTGAGTCGTTCGTTGCCATCGATATTTCGTCGTTGCTCGGACATCGCGCGATTCTTCTTCTTTTCCGCATCCGTGGCTGCTTTCTCAGCTGCCAGTTTATTCTCTAACGCAACGATCTCTTTATTCAACTCCATTACTTGCGAAGAATGTGATTGTTCAAGCGATTCCATCATTTGTCGATGCCTGAAAATATAACATCTGTCGAATCGAATTGAATCGAATCCTTGAAAAATGAGGTTATCCCGAAAACTTCTTACCGGACATTCTGTTCGATTAACTTCTCCTTTTTTATCATCAATTCGTCATACGATTCCTGCAATCGTGTCCTTTCAGTTTCTTTAGCAGCGAGTTTTGATTCTAACTGAGATATTTTTGATTTCAAGTTAACATTTTCCTCTTTCAAATAGCGTTCCATCTCGATTAAATTTTCCACTTTTGTCTGCAATTCAATATTCTTTTCCGACAAAGCTTTTTCCTGTTTCATGAAGCTGTTGGACTTGTGCGTCAGGTTCGCTTGAAGTTGCTCCAACTGCCTTAGTAGTGTTTTCGTAGCCATCGATACCGACTCCGAGAGTTCTTCGCTTCTGGCTTCGGCAGCCTCTAGACGTTTCAGTAGCTCACTGTTCTCATGCTTAAGGAACTCTTCTTTTCTAAACGTAGAACAAGATAAAGACAATAATATTAGAAAACTATTATGGATGCCATTTTGACTCTAAGATATTTACTTGACGCGCATTTCCTCTGATTCTCGTAATTTAACTTTCAGTTCTTCCACTTGCGCAAGAAGCTGGCACGATTCCCCAGCGCTGTTTGTTGCGTCTTTTAATTCCGTTTCCGTCACTGCTAAAAGTTTCTTTGTTTCGGTTAGATCCCTGAAATATAACAGGTGAAAAAGTAAAAGGAAAATCAATTATCTGAAATGTTTTGCTTAAATCATTTTACTTACATTTTCGCAGCATCTAAACTTTTCTTATAGGCATCCATCTTATGCAGAGCGTTATCTAATTTTTCTTGTAAAGTCAAAATCTCTTTTTCTTGTTTCTTCGTTTTCGCTGTCAATGTATGGACAGCCTCTATTTGGGATCGCTCGACTTCTTCTTTCGCATGCAACGATCTTTTCAAACGTTCTAATTCCGAAGTCTGCTCTTCCATTTGCTCCCTGTAAACATTCCGAGTGAAAGTATTATTATCATAAGTACCTATAAACATGTACGTACTTTTGACTCTTTATCAAAGCATCGTTTTCTTTTTCCTTCACTCGTAATTTTTTAATAATATTACTATGTTGAAGCTGTTGCTTGCTCAATTTTTCTCCTTCCTCCCTAAGCTCCTTAATGATCTCGTCTTTTTCTGCGCTTAAGGAATACATTTCTTGAGATGACAAACGCGTAGCTGCTTCCACTTTTAATTGATCCAAATTCTTTCTCAATAAATCTCGTTCTCGTATTGCTTGCTGGAATTTTCTTTCTAACGCGGACAATCGTTGAGTGTATTCGTCAGCGATTTGATTCAAATGTTGACTTTGTTCCGCGTGTTTTTCAAAGCTGTCGAGTTGCCTGTACAAAATGTAGAAATAAATCAACGAATAAGTATCGCACATATTATCTATAGGACATACTTTTTTAAATTGGTGTTTTGCTCATGTAATTCCATGTTCATCCTGCTCACGTCGAGGAGCTTCGATTCTCTAGCTTCTAATATTTCTGTCATCTCCTGTACACGCTTTAGCAACGTCTCTATCTCGAGGTTCCCTTCATCGGATCCCACGCTAATTTCGCTCAGTTCCCTCGAATGTCCTCTGGCCTTTAAAGTTTTCGTCAAGAGATCGCCACTTTTCGTTGATTGCAACTTTACCAGGCTTTGTCGCGACTGTGTCGAGCTCGAATCGCCATTTGGACTATTTTCGATAAAAATTGTTGTTTGTCATTGAGTTTAAAAATCACACCATAAAGATAATATTCACGATAGACAACTAATTATAATTTCACAACCGTACCTGTACCTGGATATGATTTCAATGTCGCTGGAAGTTGTCGTTTCTAATTCGTCCCCACTGGTATGACCGCTCGTTTGATCCGAACCAATTTTAACCAGATCGGACCGACTGTAAGAAACAAGATGAAACCTACCCCGTTTGAATGGATACTAATGATTTAATTAAATATAAATTTCTATCAAATACCTTTCTGAGGAAATAGGGGAATTCTCTCGAGGGACATCAACGGCCTGTCCTTCAATCTCGACGATCTCACTCTTTTCGATCATCGCATCCGCTAACATTGTCTTAACGTACGAGCTAGATGTTAAAGGCGTCTCTGAAATTTTTCCTTCCGTTTTATGAAGTAACGACGGATTATCTTCTGAACTGCTCTCGATTAAGGTTCCCTCGCAGCTCGAGTCTGTCGACATTAGATGTTGATCCACACCTTCCAGGATATCCGACTTTAAAGAATGCGATAAAACAGCTTCATCGGCAGGCTCCGATTCTGGTACTGCTGGCTCTATGGTTGCGCTTATCAAAGATTTTATACCGAGATTTTTTCTATCCGTTTCTTTGCTCGTTCCATCAAGATATTCGGCTAGTTTACGGATAGGTTGCGTGGTAATCGCTTCGATTGGCAAATGTAAATTATGTTTATCTTTTAAGGAATCCAGACTTAAATTTAAACTCGTATCTGTGTAACTCGTCATCAAAGCTGGTTTCCCATCCGAACACGAATCGTACATTTTTCCACTTGGAAGAACGCTATCGGGTATCTCCATTTTACCTTTGACTTGTTCTTTTTGTTGCAATGTTTCTAACATAGTCGTGAGCGTACTCTCAGAAGCGGAAGTATAAGAATCTTCGGCCAAACTCGCTTCCTCTGGTTCATCTGGATAGTAGGGCATAATTTCCATGTTTTCCGACGTGAAAGATTTTACATTATGCCCACCCGAGGACGATAAGGTCTTGCTTAAATACGAGCCTGATCCTCCAGGATAAGTTCCTGTCGATGAGGTACTGTTCACGCTACTCATGCACGAATCATCGCGTGGAGTTTTCGCATCATCCACTGGAGATTCGTACGGGGAAATATCAGAAGAGGACGGATACTCTTGATTTTCTTCTTTATTTCCACTCTGCGTAGCGCTGCTGTCTTCCCAGCAAGGTGTCACCGAATCTCCCCTGTCCAATACAGAGGACGATTCAGTGCGCCTTGAGTCTATCGGTGATAAATAGGGACTGCTATCACTTTTCCAATCGCCTAAAATTTCTACAGAACTCGGGGACGTTACTGGGCTCTCTGGTAGTATCTCCACTGATTCGGAGTCCACTTTAACGCCCATTACAGAAGGACTTGCCGAGTTACTAAGAGAATTGCCATCTGATTCAGGTGTGGTGGTGCAATCTGTGTTCGATCGAGAACCAAGGATCTCGACGCTCTCCAGACTCTTCTTATCGTTCTCCGATGACACGTAGGAAATCCTGTTCAACGCGTTTCCATCGATGCACGAACTAAGCTCGCAAGAGTCTATCTTGTCGCATTCCGATTCGCTGTTCTGTTCGTTTGTAACAGTAGCTTCGTTTTTATCCAAGGGTTCTTCGATGCAGTCGTGTTTTTCCGCGTTAGTACTCAGACGATCTTTCGTTTTATCATCGTCATCGGAAGTTACATTCTCCGAAACGATCCTGTCCAGTGAATCCGATTGCTTCAACGAGTCGGAAGTCGATGTTTCGGTAATATCTTGAGAAGGATCATTTTGAATTATGTCAGCGGCATCTTTCTCGTCGCAATCTTTGTTCGTTTGTTTGGAATTCTTCCATGAATTCGAACTCTTAGTCTTGTAATCATCTGGGAAGGATGACGAATATGTAAGCTTGGTTTTTTGTTCAATTCCAACAGACGTGCTTTGTAGAGATCTTGAGTGAGTAATACGGTTTTGACCATTTTCTTCTTCGTTAAATTTTGGGGATTCGAAGAAAGATCCAGTGAAGCTGCCCCATATGCTGCTTGCTGCTTCTTGTTTAGAATCCTTGCTTTTTTCACGATGATCGACATCTTCTTCACCCTTCAATCCCCAATTTGAGAAAAAGTCTGATGTATCCTCTGTATGACTTTCTACAGGTTTTTGATCTTCGTCTTTGATATCTAATGCTTTATCGATAGTTTTCTGGGCACCTTTCAAAGCGGACTTGGCCAAGTTGGCAAACCCAGTGGCATCAAACCAGCTCATTCTTTGTTGTATCTAAAATTAAAATGATAATGGTCAACAGTATAGTACGATGACGTTAAAATTAAGAATATTTTCGTTTATCAACAACTTTAACTGTTAATTAATATACCACATACGAATGATTCATGGAACGAAAGTAACTTACCTTGCATATTAACACATCCAAGCTGTATATAAAATTGTTCTTCTGAAAAATGTGATATGCACAAATTTAGAGGTTAGAATATTCGTAGTAATGCTTATGCTTTACAAAACTTTATATTATTTTGCACGATATACGAAGAATTGTGAATTCGCATAATCGATCGAGAAAGAATCACAGAAAAGATGAAACGAGTAAAATAATCGAGATGAAACGAAGAAGAAGGCTGTCAATCGCATTTTCGTGACATACCTATAATCATACTAAGAAAACTAAAAGTCACAACTCATCCAAAACTAAATAACTATTGTTTGCTATACATCGATTATTAAATTAAATAAGATTTTCAACGTATCGAACAAACAACATTTGCACGTTTAAAAGACATTTAATTAACCAAAACGAAGGTGATGGCAGTAATTGACACGTCAAACAGCAACAACATATAGATGCATATTTACGCTTTCATACATAAGAAATTATGTATGCACACGTATGTGATCATGTGTTTTCATACTCGATATTTGAGACGAAATTTCCTTTCGTAAAATTTGACGTCTTTATACGTGGTTCCTTCTAGAAACCTGGACAACATTTGCGTATTCCATAATTCTTAGTAAATGTACAATGTAAGGAAATATTACGTAAACGTTACCTTTCCATCATGATTTACAGTAATTAGGTATCCGAATCGACTGACAATCACATAATAAATCAGTCTGAACACAAAAAGTAAACAGAGAAGATGTAGCTTGTCTGTCGTTGATCAACGATAGCGCGACACGACATCTTTCCCTACCAACAATTCTATAGCGAGGAACGAACTCGACAAAATGATAGATAATAGCACAAAAGTTTGCCAAATCTAATTAATTATTCAACATATCATTGACGTATTTCAATACGTTAACTAAATGATATTGTTTCAATTTAATGTACGTATATGCGTACACGCAGGTAACGATCGTTTGCCTTGGTATTTTCGTTCGACATACACTTACATATTATACTGCCAGTCTAGCTTTCTTCTTTGATGTACCATCTTAAACAGCTAAATCATGATTAAGTACACGTAACAGTATAGAATGGAATCATTTTTTGAGTTAGTGGTCGAGTCGTTGAAAAGTATTCTTAGCGAGGATGTTACCAACAGCTCCAGTGGCGCAATTGGTTAGCGCACGGTACTTATAAGACAGTGACTAGTGAGCAATGCCGGGGTTGTGAGTTCGAGCCTCACCTGGAGCATTTTTTTTTCAGTCAAAATTTTTATACTTCATTGAATGCTACATATAACACGAATTCAACGCGAATTTATTGTACGTACATATAATTTTCACAAAATTGTATAATACAATACGCTGGATGTATTACACGCGAAATTTACTTGTATTTATTTTAACGCTGGTTCTATTTTATGAGAGCCGAATCGGCAAGTACCAAGCATCCAATTCCGAACAAAGTTTGAGCCCAAGGGTGAACAGGGCAGCGGAAGCAATTATACTTCTGACGAAGGAGTCGTGGCTCAGAGCACGGACGATGCAGGATAGAGAACAAGTGCAAACATCGTCGAAGTAACGTGTACCCTTGTTCAGCAAGTATTCGTCAACGATCTTTTGCCTTTCTTCGAGTTTGCGTATTCTGTCTCCTATGAGAAATCGTACAAAGGCGACTCTTAAAATTAACCAATTAAATACTTTAGCGATGACTACTTGAAACGAGGGATCGGTAAAGACAGGACAGTTATCAAAAGCCTAATAGACCAATCAGTAGAGCATTTTTGTGTGACAAAAATAGTAACAGCAAACCGATTGTGCAGTTACATAGAAGGGTATGCGTAGATTAATAGGTATATGTTTTTCACTCCTAACTCTGTTCCGTTTTCTTGTTATTTACAATTTAATTGTAAAAAAAGTCGTGATTTTTGTCGTTTTTTGCTTATAAACTTTAAACTAATGCAGCAATATCAATGCTTCAATGAGACAAAATGTAGGTGATGAAAATACCTACAGAATGAGACCTCGAACGTCTCGATCGGATAATGAGGAATGAAACAAAATCTGGAAAACCGGAAAATTCAGCGTTTTTTCAAAAATTCGTATCTTCGCCATTTTTTAAACTGAAGCGCTGGCCTTTTGGGAACAAGTAGTGATTGATATGTTCTTTATGTGTGCAAAAAGCGGGGATTGTCGGATAGGTGGTTTTCTCACAATCGTAATCTGAATTTTTCAGTACGCTTTTTTCCATCGGGCCTGTATGCGTTATCGTAAGACCGATTTTTATTTTAAAAAAAGATTTGAATAGTTGACGTCGTGTACTATAAAACGTATATTCTAGTTTTTCGATAAAATGTGTTGAAGTATGCGAAAAACCATATCAAACCTACCTTATATACCTTTCTCCTCGGCTGCCGCTGTGCCCCCACCACTCGACCGCGATTGAGCGTTCGGCCGTGTTTAGTCAACTTTACAAGGGCTTTTCGCATACTTTAACACATTTTCTGTAGAAAAACTAGAATATACGTTTTGTAGTACACGATGTCATCTATTCAAATCTTTTTTTTAAACTAAAAATCGGTCTTACGGTAACGCATACAGGCCCGATGGAAAAAAGCATACTGAAAAATTCAGATTACGATTGTGAGAAAACCACCTATCCGACAATCCCCACTTTTTGCACACATAAAGAACATATCAATCACTACTTGTTCCCAAAAGGCCAGCGCTTCAGTTTAAAAAATGGCGAAGATACGAATTTTTGAAAAAACGCTGAATTTTCCGGTTTTCCAGATTTTTTTTCATTCCTCATTATCCGATCGAGACGTTCGAGGTCTCATTCTGTAGGTATTTTCATCACCTACATTTTGTCTCATTGGAGCATTGATATTGCTGCATTAGTTTAAAGTTTATAAGCAAAAAACGACAAAAATCACGACTTTTTTTACAATTAAATTGTAAATAACAAGAAAACGGAACAGAGTTAGGAGTGAAAAACATATACCTATTAATCTACGCATACCCTTCTATGTAACTGCACAATCGGTTTGCTGTTACTATTTTTGTCACAAAAACGCTGCTTTAATTCTCTACCGATTGGCCTATAAGTAGATAACGTTAAAAAAAAATAAACTTGCTCCGTGAAATACGTCGAGGACAAGTTGGATCGCATTCGTCTTGAACGCTTCCAAAATCAACCCCCTCGCCGGAAGTTCCTGCCGAAACTTCTCGTTCGCCAGTTTGCTCGTGTTCCCGTCTGCCCGTTGTTTCCATTCCTTCGCGTTCTGTAATCTCTCCAAACGAATCTCCCACGTATCTACTAGTTGCTCCGACGGTATCAGTTTCGACCAGCTTTTCAGATCCTATATCAGACAGTCGTCGTGTTGTCCCCGTCTCCGTTAAGGTAGTAACCGCTGGGTCTACGCCTCTCTCCGACAGGATCCTCGAATGCGCTAAGAAATCGAAGATTTCATGCCAATGTTTTCAGATAATTTTACGTTCCTATTAGTTTGGATTTTGGAGACTTTCTTCACCTTTTTTCTCAGACTGCGCTGCTTTCGTCCTTGCCTCTACGTCGGACAATCGCGGAGACGTCTCCGTTTGCTTGATGGACCCGATCGGTGCCAACGTATCGACACCCTTCTCTTTAACACTCTTCGCAGAAACTAAGGGGGAACCGAACATATTTCAAGCCAGTATTTTGTCTACTTAATCTTACGCAGAACTTACCTGCGTCCTTACTAGGAATAGACTTTCTCTCAAGAGCATGGATACGTCTTTCCTCATCCGTGTCCAACCATTTATCGACACCCTTCTCTTTCACACTCTTGCCAGAAACTAAAGAGGAATCGAACATGTTTCAAGCAGCTATTTTGTCAATTTAGCGATCTTATTCAAAACTTACCTGCGTCCTTACTAGGAATAGACTTTCTCTCAAGAGCATGGACACGTTTTTCCTTATCCGTGTCCAACCACTTATCCGCCAAAGCCGCTCTTTTCGGGTCCTTGTCATCGCGGAAACGACGATCAAAGATATCCTTGGTCACCGTTTCGCCAAGTTCAGCTTTCTTCACGATCCATGGCGCTTCGGCGACTGGAGACCTCGTCGATTAATTCGAAGGCAATCAACCAAGATAAAAGCAGGAAACTTGATAAAGAGCATAACTACGAATCGTACCTACTTTTCTTAGCTCAGCTCTCACTATAGGACACCAGGGCTCACATGCAGGCATCTAAAAGAGTTTTCGTGGTCGCCCAGAAAATTATCACGGAAGTTCCATTTTATCGAACCCTCGATCGAGAAACCGATTTTGTTGATCGTTTGCCGGCTCGTTGCTGCGGATTGACAAATGATTTTCGCGGCGTTCAATTATCCTTTCGACGCGTTCGCTGCCAGTCTAATACCCGTGAAAATTTCGATTGGAGAATTGGAAATTACTTAGTGCAAAGGCACTCATCCAACTCCCTTACTTTCGAAGATGTGCAACGCATCGCCAAAGGGGATCCAAGAAATTAGCATCAACGAATCGAGTTGCATAGCTAGCTTGCAAAGCGACGATACGGATGTATGTCGGAAATTTTGCGGAAATGGCGAAGAGGAAGCGTTAACTGCTGGTCGAGAAAGGGATCAGTCGAGTTACGTCGAGGAAAGGATTTTTCATTTGTTGTTACCCGCGTTAGAGGAAACACTGTTCGAAGCCTCCAAATGGAACGCTCTTCGGGTACACGTAAAAACATGCCAAACAAATCCAGCAGCTCGCATAGCATTGCACAAGTCATACAAAGAAATTGCAGGTGCAAAAGTGTCGTTTCAGTGGCCTCGACTACCTCGCGGAGATTTTGTGGAACCGTAATCCTCGTCGTTCGAGGGTTTTCTCACCCCCATTGAATGCAGCCGACATCCCACTGTTTAAACAATGGTTGCGTCTGCGGTAGGTGATCAGATGACTTGGATTGTATTCAAAGTAATCATCCATCGTTACTCGTAGGCCTCCTTATCCTAAATCGTGGTTGTGGTCCGAGGATGAAGCAGCATTGCACTTACAACGGTTCGTTCGTGGCTGGCTCGTGAGAAAACGTACGGATGTTCAGGAAATGAGGCAATTTTGGAAGGTGAACAAACGCAACACGACGCATACTCTATTGGATCGTTTCTTTATATATACAGTACTATGCCGTACCATGCTACATAGCAAAATATACAATATCATATCACACTATTGTACATCGTAACACAATTATATCCATTGGTTCACATGTATTTTATAATGGTAGAATATAGCTGCGAGAAATTTGTTGGGGAAAGAAACTGACATTGTTCAACAGCAAGGAATTCATGTTTCAAGTACGTACTTTGTAAACGTGACAACTACACTTAAATGCAATAATCGTCGGTTTAATGTGGTCACAGATGGTGAATATGGAACGGTGGACGCTGACTCGGTTCGTTGCAGAAAATATCGTCGGATGCTTTATACGAATAAAGTCAACGTCGCGAGAGCGAAAGATACGCTTTAAAACAACAAAATGGTGTCGACACGTGAATTGGTTCGGATGTATGAAAAACATTTCATCTTTTATTAAATTATTAAATTAGATACGCGTATAATGTATCGAAGTGCATTTACGATTGGCTTTTGGATTCTTCGTCCAAATAAATAGTCTTTTTTTCTATTATATTGACTTCGACTGTAGGGGTTTCGTTTTCGTCTGCTACTCTGTAAAATTTAATGCCATCTAAATTATATATAAGGTTCAGTTTAGGTTCTTCTGTGAGAGGTTGCCCTGCTTGTTTTGCTTGGTGGTATAACAATTCTTTCAGAAGAGGTGGAAAACTTGTCGTCCTTGGCATAACTCTCTTGGCTGGTTGTTCTTTTCTGTTTAGAAAGAGGTGCTCCTGGTCTTTAGGTATTAAAACATAATCCGCCTTATAGGAGACCTGTTCTATTTGAACAGGGGTTGGTTCAGTGTAACCTCGGAAAGTTCTTCTAACAAGAGCTGCCACACTTCGTGATTCCTAGAACATACAATTCAGTTTTAGTATAATATTTACAAATTCTTAAATAAATATATCCGAATTTATAATCAAAAGAAAGTAAATGAAACGTTTATAAGATTATATATTTATAAGTGTGTGGGTCACGTCTAGTTTCCACACAAATCTCAAACAGTAGAATTAAATAAGAAAACTTACATGGGGGTTAGTGCCGAAATTTGGTAACGCGGCTACTTTTAGTATTTGCATGTAACATGCTTCGGGGTATCGTTGTTGTCGACTTCTAATTACCATTCTACCTACACCAAAATTTTTCAAATTTGCCAAGATCTCCCATAAGGGTTTCCCTTTGAAGGTGGTTGTTCGACCAATATATTTTATCGGCATTTTTTTTTATAGACTCGCGAGTAACTATGAACGTTTTAATTGATAAATAGCGATTGTAGCCTAACCTCTTTTGGAAAGAATAAATCTTCTGTCTCTATCCAAATATTAGCGATTGCAACGACACGATTAGGCGAATCGGTTACTAACATACCTCATTCGACTGGGTTTGTTCAAATTGTTCAAAACATTGGTTTCAATGCTTTGAAGTATTCAAAGCAAGTATTCTTTTCAAGTATTTGATCTAAAGAAAGAACAAAATTATTGAATTACTGAACGAGCAGTTATTATTTCATAAAGAAACGACCTTCTCTCTTGTTCATATATTCGCACTTTGTACTTTCGAATTTGGCGGCAATTTGTGGCCATAACCTGGTAAACGGTTACTTCATTATCGACTCAGGGGTTGGTTATAAATCGTCGTCGTGATCAGACTCACCAAAACGCCGCCATTAGATATAGTGTTTCTTTTCGAATAATTAGGTATCGATTTTGTACTTATTCCCATCTAATCACTGCTAATCGGTATTACTGCTTGCCAGCTAATTTCAGGGAAATGGTATGTACCTTTAAAGTGCGTAATCATGTAGCACGTTCAGGTGTCGTAAGCGTCCCAGGACGTCATTTCTAGGTTAGGTTTATCGCTCGAAGGTCACGTGTGAAATCTTGAAGCATATTCGCGAATGTGTTTTGCCACAATTTAAATAGAGTTGGGTACGAAAAATAGCTTACCTTCTGGCTTGTTTGCTAAATATGAGGAAGTAGGTAGCACTTTAAAGATAGGTTATATATGGGTTCTTTAAAAACAAGGTTTACAAGTATCGTTCAAATTTGAGTATGTTATTGTTAGCTTTCGTCTTTATTTTAAGAGACCTATAAATAAAATAGAAGATAAAAAGATACGGTTACTGCAATATGTGTTAGTTTTAAGTCGTAGAATGTTGTAAGGACAGATTTGTGATATAATCAGAAAATAGTTTTAGTGGGTTTCTGATTAATTAAAATATAGATTATCGAAATTTAAATATGTATTGTGAAACATTTAATGTAAAACTTATTCGAGGTAATAGTTTCTATAGACTGACATTGAGTAATTGTATGGACAGTTTTTAACTTAAGTAAGAGATGCACCTTAAAACCATTTTCGCTTAGTATTACGTTTGAGGGATAACTCAGTCTCGTCTATATCCTTATCGATATCCTTTTTAGATGACCTACTGAATTTCTTCTCCTTCAATTTTTTTTTTAACTTGCCTTTCTTTGTTTTCGAACTTGAGGGATCTTCTATTTCGTTACACGATGTCTCGTTCTTTTTCTTGGCTATTATTAAATGAATATTATTAGTTTTGTTTATATTATGAAAAATTTGTTTATCAAGAATTTATTCACCAGCAAACAAATCCATGTGTTTGTGTATACTTCTATCCTCTTCTATTTCTCGGCGACGATCCATTTCCAAACATTCGACAATTTCATTCCGTCGTTCGACAATTTCTATAAGTCTGTTAATTGAAAGAGTAACCTTACTAAATAGCGTAACTTTAGAATTAGTAATATAGTAGAGTGATATTCCAGTTATACCTCTGTATCAATATTTCTTCTTTCTGTTTATCAAAGTCCGTCTTTGTAGATTCGTTCTGCGACATTAAACATCGAATTTGGTATTCCACTTCGACGTGTTCTTCCTCTAATCTTTGTTGTCTTCGAAGTAACATCAACTCCGCCTGTCGCCTGAACAATTCATTCTTCTCATTTACTAAGGCAAATAATTCTAGAACTAATTCTTCTACATCTGTGCCAGGAAATACATCTGAAATGTTTACAAAATAATATATCGACATAGATAGCTGCTTAAATACAGGATAGTATGTAAATGTAATCATTGAATTACCATCAGTATTAAGTCCAGATTCGCATTTATGTCTAATTAGTTGTTCTAGTCGCACTCCTTGTTTTTCCAAGCCCTGTTGTTGCATTTCAATTTCATCTAATTCTAATTTGACGTCCTCCAGGGACAATATTTTTACCTAAAATCGTATGAATTATTTAGAAATTATTTATAGACATTGTATTGAAAATATTAAGTCATCTATGGTATTACTTTATTTCACACTTAATAGAAATAGTAATCCTAAAATACATAATATCGTAATGTATCGTATCGTAATAAACCACTGACGGTAACAAAGTTAACACGTATACATGCTACGAAATAAGAATCAACGTTACTAGTCAACGTTTTACGTAGTATTCATGGAGTGTGTTAAGTAGAAAATTGCGTAAATCATGCAATTAAAAAATCTGAAAACACAGAATTATCTCTATTCGATCATGCTTTTTATCCGAATCTTCGGTAGTTGGGTTTCGTGTAGAGAAAATGGTGATTTAAAAATTCTGAAGGCCAGCATCCAAATTACATTCGTATTCGAAATACTAGGAGCTAGTACGTGTATACTAGGGATCGCAATACGGGTAAACCGAATTACATACACAAGACATCGTTTTCGCCAATATCGTATTAATAATATTAGTTTAGAGAAGATAAACCCAATATCTCTTTACTTGGAAGTTGCTGTTCTTTCATACTTTGGCGTAAGGAGTTGATATTTCCGACTTAAAAATACAAGGTGACATTGAAAACTCTCTAAAAAAACAAGGCAGGAAAAAGTGATTACAGTATATGTTTCCAGACCACACTTTGTATGAAACATTTTTACGTTTAACAGATTATATCAAATTTATTCGAGGCGGTCGTGTTAAGTATCTCATCGTGTATAAATCGGTCAAATCGATATCAAAGTAATAGAAACTCACCTTTCTTTTATATGGCATTGGACAAGGTGGAGCCGGGCCCTTCTTTCTCTTCCACTTTCCTTGAGTACTTTTGTCTACGTACGATTTGTAATCGAAACTCTCTCCGCATGGTATATGCATCAAACTTTGTTTGTTCCTGTTTGCCTCATCCTTGTTGGTCTTTTTATCTTCCGATGCGTCTTGGTTCATTTTACGTGACGCAACTATTGGAGACTCGTTGAAAGTCAAAGTTCCTTTAACAGGTGTGTTGTATGGACTGCTGCTTCTCAGTGGTGGAGGTGGTGCAGGTTTTGTTTTGCGCGTCTTAGGGGTTGTGCGTGGACATGACTCCTAGTATTAATGAAATTCAAATATTTAAATAATTACAAAGTGAAAGACTAAGTTGAAAGATAATTGACAAATTACGTGATTATCAGCAGAATTGTTGTGCGATTGGCGCGTTAATGTACGTTGATTGGAAAAACCTGTGTCCTTCAGGTTTGGTGGCAATGGGGCTGGCTTCTTTTTTCTAGTGGTTGCTCCGTGAGTTACGCTTCCAGATTCTAAACTTGTTAAAGAACCATTTGACGTCGACAAACTACTGCGACTTAGTCCTATTTCTTGAATATGCCTACAAATTTATCAATTGTATTTGTACTTAGTTCAAAATAATATCACAACGATTAAATATAAGTATGATTATTTATGTACCTAATGGTGCGCGGTTTAGGAACAGGCATAGTCTTAAATCTTTCCCCATGATACTCTGAATCGCTATTGTGATCGTCCTCGTCGCTCGAAAAGGAATTCAAATTAATTTGCGGTGCAATCAGTCGTCTTCTTGTTTGTATTTCCATAAGAATCTGTTGTTTATGTTTGCTGTTGTTAACGTTGCTTCTTGTGGTCGGTTTTGGTGGTGTGCCAATCTGTGGCTTGTTCTCCTCCTGGTCTGGGGAGTCATCATCGCTATCGAAGGGATTCGTTGAATCTTTGGTAGCTTTGAAATTTTCTACACTCGTTCGACTCTTATCCACATTCTCTTCTTCTTCGTCACTTTTAAAGGGATTCAAGTCTTTCGGATAATCTTTCTCTACACCTGAATCCGCGTTTGCTGCGTGAATTTCATTAATCTCTTTTGCAATAGTATCAGGTACTTTATCTTCGTTACTTTCTTTATCCATGTATAACGAAGGTACTTCAGATGCATCCATAGTATCTGCGCTCTTTTGTGTTTCCTTCACGTTAATATTGTTAGTACCGCTCGGCAAAGAGCTTGCATCGCTATCGGTTGTGTCATCGATCTTCGAATTCGATTGACTGCAACTTATTCTATTAAAACTTAATAAACTTTCGGTAGGACTACTGGCTACAATACTTTCTGGAACTTTCACATCACTTTTCTGTTGATCAATCGTTAAATCTGTATGGCCATTGTTTGTTACTTCTACATGCTGCTTATTCTGAGCTTTAGATTCTAATACGTTGATAATTTGATGCTCGTTCTTTTTTCTCTCGGTATGGTCTACCCTATCCTGACTTTCGAACATCTTCAGCCTTCTTTGAACTAGAGACAGGCAATTATCCGCGTCTTCGCTCCCGTTGGTATGACCCGACAGCTCTTTCGCATTGTTCATTCTAGTAATTGAATTAACCGATTCATTCTTAACTACAGATAGAGTGCCAATTAATTTACGCTCCTCCTCCGTCGCGTTACTACTTAAACTATCATTTACGCAGTCCTTCGCTTTCGTGTGATCCTCACCATGATTTTCTTCAATCGTGCCTCTTTCAAATTGAAGTTCAGGTCTCGAGGAACCACTAGAACAATTATATTCATCCTCTTTTCCGTTTGTCATTTCCGTTTCGACAGCGCTCAAATCGCTGCTCACCAGAGAGTCGCTGACGATGTCTGCTTCTTTATCTTTTTCCGAGAGCAGGTGATTCGATATGAAATTCAGTCTTAATCGAGAGGTTTGTGCGACCACGTCGGGAATAGCGGGATCTGGGAACCCTAGACTTTGCATAGAACTGTAACTAAGCATTCCATCCGTGCTTTTCTCGCCGTAACAATCTTTATAGCTTGACTCGGCGGTGGTGTCGTTATCCTCTATGTTCTCGGATGTTTCACTTAACATTGCGGCCTTGTATTTTTCCGTCGCGGGTGACGAGGCGTCTTCGTCAGGGCACGTTTCGCAGCAGAATTGACCTTCCTCGGTCTCGTAATAATTGCCAAGTGTTAATTGATTGTTGCAGCGAGCACAACGAAAACAAGTACGATGATAAGTGCCACGGGACACGACCAGCTTCTCCGCCAGGAAAACAGGAAGTCTGCACGCGATGCACTGATCTCTTCGTATGCCCAGACACGACGCCACCTGTATCATTTCAAAGTAATGTTACATTGTTCTCTGTAGCAGCTTCTATTTAATTATAAAGGGGTTTTGGGATTTTGTTCTTCTAATAAAACGGTGTAGGGTCATCAGGATCCATTCAGTAGTGATTTCGAAAGAACTTCTTTTTTTATACCCAAGGGTAATCAAATATTTAATATATATACCCACCTACTTAACTTCTTCTACCTCTGCACGTGCCTTTTTTGTCACACCTTTCTATGTTATACTCTAACAATGTTTAATTATAAAACGAACAGGAATATTTTTTCATAGCCTTCACAAATTATTTATTATATTCTTCCTGGTATTTTTCTTTGTCTCACCATTTGCATTGCAGTTTTCAGGTGACTAAAACAAGTGACTTCTGCGAAGCAACTGGAATGACCAATCGCCAAACGATCAACATGGCGTCGTACTCGCGTTGGTGGGCGAAATTCGATTATAAAGTCTAGCATGCAGGTGATGGTCAAGTAACAACTTTTACGATTATATCACTTAATGGACGAAGTACGTCTACAATGTACCGTTGCCGCACGAGAAGAGTGAACTTGGCACAGTGACCATGTTAAAAACCCTTTAGTAGTGTGTGTGCCTAACTTAGGTATCGTATTGTTCATTCTTTTCGTGTGTCAATGATAAATGTACGATGTGTTGTTCAAGGTAAATGTTAAAATGAATATAAAAGAGACTAATGACTAAACAGCAGGTGATGCGAGAAAAATGTAAACAAAAATTCGTGTCATTTTTCATGCAGAATATAAGAGTGTGAAAAGTGTTTTTCCAATTTTTCAAGATCACCTTGTGATTTTGAAACGAGGTATTATGTACTATACTGTTGCTTCGGCACCATGAAAGAACAAAAAAGGGCGAATTCAATAAAATAAAATTTGTTTTTATTTAACTTTTCTATCTTCATATTATAATATCAATGTTTTGGTTTAATACTGTGTTATAATTGTTAATACTGTTAAGTTAAGATTATACGTCTAAGTTAATGTTACAGGTTAATACAAATATTAATTTATTATGAGTCTTTGTTTCTGTGGAACACTTTAACACTTCCGTCCCGTTCAGGCAGCTGCTCCAAAAAATGAGATTCACTGGAGTCATAGATGGGTCACGGACAGGGAATGAGGTATGAGATGAATGTGACAATTTTGAGCATGTTCTGTAAATAAAGTAAGTCACGTAGCAGAGAACTTAATGCTTGTGCGTGTCAACAATTTAACTTTTATGTGACTTTCGACCGTTTCAAGGTTATTTCAAAGTAGCACGTCGAATTCGTCTGTTTCTGTTCTTTCATGGTGCTGAAACAAAAATATAGTTTTCGATTTAAAAAAAAAAAGAAACTCGAAGCGACCTTCACGAATTCTATGTTTTACAGAAAAAAAGACGAACAAAGTCTTGTCGTTTTTCTGGTATCTCTTACTGTTTATTATCTCAAGCGGCACGTATTTATAAATACCTTGTATGACGCATACTGGATATAACAAACGTTGGAACAATTTTAACTAAATGAACGCAGTTTTCACATTATGGATAATAATTTGAAACAAAATATTAATGAGGGACCATTACGGAGGGAGTGAGAAATAAACACGATGATGTTTCATACAAAAATTCACGTACCTTTTGTTTCGGAGACTCGGACGTTGGAACGATCCTTTCACCTTCGGCTTCCGATGTTCTATTCACTACAAGTCGGCTTGGGGAAGAACCTAGAACAGTAACAAGAAAAAGAGTAACATTTAAAAACTTGAACTGTACAAATTTTGCTATTTTTGAGTTTGATTCGATATATTACTTTCGAATAACGGAAAAACGATAAAGAATAAGATTTTATTTGTTCATTTAATATCAACATTTTTTAACGAACATTCGCCGTTGCGCAATTGCAACATTGCACGACCTGCATGTAGAATCGAAAAACAGAATGCAAAACAAAAAAGTGCAGTGTCAGGCATAACACTGTGCGACATGCCGTGCGTCGGATTGCGCAAACGACAAGCGTAAAATTCTGAACCCTAAAATTGGTGAATTCCATGAAAGACTATAAAAATCATAAGAATAAAGGTTCACAAATTAGTCAGAATACTTATAAATCGTTATCTCATTCTCTTCTTGTATCGATTCGAGTGCACTTATTTATAGCTTATCATTACTAAACGTACATTTCACTGAATCAACACGCGCGTACCGTCGTTATTATAACATATTCAACAGTAAACGCTATTACTGTAATCAAACACACTTGGCAATACAAGTGAACAAATTGATAGCACCGCGGGCAGAGTTAATAATTACATTTCACGGCACTACCACTACGATCGTCCAACCCATTGATTGGCTCAGGTGGAATGAGGCCACTCCTCATACAGAAGTGCACTCTCCTTCCGGCCTACTCAACCAGCCGAAACGCATAGTACCATTTAAGCCATAGTGGGACATTTGTGATGCTACTTGAACCGACGCTTCCAGTACGCTATCCTGCAATTCATGGCACTGGTCCGCCAGAACTACGGGAACCCCTCCAAACGGCCATCGTGATAATTCCAACGCGACTGCCCTGCTGAAGCTCATTTACATACATCGTACATTATGCATAAACCATGACAGAGTAATACGTCGTGGTTTCAACATGTATTCAAGCTGATAAGCTTATCGCAGTGTATAAAGGCCACCTTGTGCAAAGGATCGAGGGGAAGCTTGACGGGACCCACACCGCTACACTTGGCCACAGAGATAGAGGGATGCAAGCTTCCTGTTCGTAAACACGACGATCCAACTGTATTCGTCTGTGCCAGGAATATAAGTAATACTCTATGTTGGCACTTCCCGTAATTTTCCCCCAGAGGGGATACGTTTTCCGCAAGCATTCGGTCTACCTAAGATGTCTATATATACAATACTTGACCGACCTCGCGATGGGCCTTTGAGAAGGGAGCCGCGCCACAACTTAATCAAATGTAAGATCAAATCATGCATAGTTATTTGTACTGACTTACCACCGAAAGTTTGGTAGAACTGTGATAGGTAGGTTAAAATCGACAACCGATCTGGCACAGAGCAGGAGGCCATGTCTTCCGCGTCCAGAAGGGCTGGAATTCCAAGGTGTTTCTCTGCTGTTTTAAAGGCTAGTTCGTTGTTTCCGTACACGTCGTTCTTGTCTAAACTGTTGAAATCTCTGCAATCAAACGCAGACGGTATCGTATTAGTATCGAAATATATCGCGTATTCTTCAGACAAATATTTGACTGGTCCGCCAACCGTTAGTAATCGAAGATATTCGAAAATGGGATGGGTTATGTTTCTTTACGACGGACACATACATTAACGGTATAAGGTAAAAGTACCGGTAGTTGACCATGTACCAGTAGTTGACACTTCTAGAATGAAAGAATTATAATATAATATATATGTATTACTGTTACTACGCCTATTGTAATATCTAAGCTTGTGTGGGAATATCCTCTCAAATGGTCAATTACAGGTACATCTATCCTACTCTTGTTACACATTTACCGATAACTCACATGAGGTCTGACCGAAAGTGGTGAATCATTGCGCAAAAAGCGAGACCGTCCTTCCAAGAAGTAGTCATGTTTTGTACATTCACACCAGGGTAACCCGCGGTTATCCTTCGGCACCATAGTTCTAACGCCTTCGTGCCCCGTTTCTCGCCCATTTTGGATATCCACTTTTCTTTCCTCCAGAGTGTTTGAATTTGTCTTCACTTTCGCTCTTGTCTTTGATTTCTCTGTAAAATTCAGCCTTCAACGTCCAAACACTAAATAAATAAATAAATAAATCCGTAAATTTATTTAGTTATTTTTCGGCAAAAATTTCGGCACCTGCATCTTTCGAACTAATTCGAGCAACGATATGATAACGATCGACGATGACGAATTCAATTTCATGCGGGCTAAATTGTACATTCAATTTTATTAAAATCCCTGACCTGAAATGCAACAGGTGATCGATTTGGCATGGAATGATTCATGTTAGTTTTCTTAAACAAGGACGTTGTGCAGTTCAAACGTGGAGACAAAAATTAACCAGTTTCGCGAGTCTCCGTAAATTTCCATTTCGTATATAGTTATTTATCGAATTTCGAAGTATATATAAAAATAGAATACAGAAATACAATAGCTTAAAATAAAGCTTTTTCCACAGAATATACTTTCCCAGACCTATATATGTATAAGAAGATCCAGCAGTTGTTCAAATGGAAATATCGATGACATTACAATAGGAATCAAATTATAAAACTGTGTAGCATATTTTGTTCCAATGCGAATTGTTCACAGAACAATAAGATTTGAATCACAAAAGTCTTTAGATTTTATTTATTTCCAAGTAGGCATTTCTTTACAAGGTGCTGTTAGCACAGTATAAAAAAGTTATTTCATATGTAGAATTATGAATATTTCAACATTTATTTATTTTCATAAATTTAACACCTAGTACAACAAAGGACTATTTAAAATGTATAAATAGCTTTAGCACTAGACAGTAAAAGTTATTGCATACGATATAATGCAGTGTAGATAATATTTGTATAACGATTAGACTGAGAATGTTTATGCAAATTTCTATTTTTATACAAATGAACACAGACGTAAATTAAAGTATGTTTATGTCTTTTAAATGTAACTAGTATTACATTTTTTATACTTAACATTTCTCATAAATACATAAATATTCGCGGTCTGATAATAATATACACGTAAATTACTTTTAGTTATTCAACTTTTCTACAAATTACGTGTCCATACAAAATTCCATTACCTTATGTCATTTGTGCGACCTGTCGTTTTGTTGTTTTTAATGTGTGCCCTTATGTCCGTTAACGAGGCTATAGCTTCGCGTTTTCCTTTCAAGTGAATATAAATAACAGCATCCTTTTCAAATTTCTTTTGGCTTCGTGTGATCGCATTACAAACACATTTTAATTATTTGCTTCTTAACAATCTGTTCGCGGGCACGACACGAAGAACTGTGTCACACGTCTTTTCTAACCTCAATCTTGTGGTTAACTAGTACAAATACACATGCGAAACAAAACAAATGGAAACGCGGAAGTTTGTTTATGAAACAGTAGGCAGGAACGAAACAAAAACGGTAAAAAGACGTTGGCACCGATTTGTTGTTGTATTTTAACTTTCACATCGGGGAACACTGACAAAAAAACTGATCGGGTCCTGTTCAATCATTTAATACAGCACCATACAGCACTCACACCGCACGTGTGATCCTGCGACTGAAACGTTACGAATGCCGTATAGTTAAGTTTACGCCATCACTTCTCGTTCTCTCTTTTTCCTTCTTTTATCGTTTATCTCGCTTATACATTTCACGATTCGCCTGCTAGCGTTGTCTTTTTCCTTTCATTTCGAACGATATATTTTTCTCCGTTTCTGTTTTCCTTTCGCGTGTCGAGGTTCAAGAGTCTATTCAAGCCTATTTATTTCTAGCACTGTTCGTGAAAGGTGCACGATTCCCTATATAGATTAATGCTGCGTTGACGTAAGTCAAACGTGCATCGCGTTCGTTGCTCTTTTAATTTGCTACACAGTTGGTTTAAACAACATCAAAGTTACGTGTACGAGATGCCAAGGATTGCAACAGGGAAATTCCACAGTGATATCTTTTTAATGTCACGCATCTTACTCATTTATATTGAATCATATTTTAGGAAATTAAAGATAGGATTCGCCGTAATTTGATATTCAGGATTTAAATAAGTTCAGATAAATTTCATTTGAGAATTCTGGTGTCTAGTCAGTAATAATTAGTAGCGAGAGTAACAATACTGCTCTATCCTGCGATAACCTTTGACTATATACCTAGGTATATACCTAAGTATATAGTCAAAGGTGATAGATAACAACTTTTTCACACAAACAACCAGGGAAATCGCCATGTTGCCTGCTACCTCGATTCAGGTGTTATTAAGTTCGATATCCCTTTTTTAACTATAAACAGACAGAATCTGAGACTAGAGATCCTCTAATTATTAAAGACCTACCCAAAACCCTCTAATTATTAGAATTCTTAGCTTGATTGTAGCTATAGTGGGTGATGCAAAAAGGTCACCGCTCACTAAGCCGCTCAGTGAGCGGATTTTAGTACCAATAGCGCCACTTATATCTTTAATAAATTATTCTTAATTTTTCATAAAGGCATGATTAATACGATTCTTTGCTTTATAACAGTGCGATATCTTAGTTGATATGTCAAATTTACCATTTCTATGAATAGTTATTCAATTTAGCAATAATTATCGACCCTCAGTTAGTGGCGCCATCGGTAGGAAAACGCCCAAGTTCGTAGTTTAAAAAGTTCCCACTGTTGCTGCTAGATGTCGGTACTAACTAATGGTGTCGATAATTATTGCTAAATTGAATAACTATTCATAGAAATTATATATTTGACACATTAACTAGTATATTGTATTATTACAAAGGAAACAATTGTATTAATCATTCATTTGTAATATGAAAAATAATGAATAATTAATTAAAGATATCGGTGGCTAGGAAAAATGCCAAAATAGTACTTAAAATTAAATAACCGGGATACATGTGCAGGGTATTTACAGATTATGCAAATGTTCCAAAGTAGGAAGAAACAAATGGTACAAAGCTAAACGTTATTAGCTAGATTTAGATACGTAAGCAAAGAGAGATAGTATAGAGTTAACTAAAAGGCTGTTAAAAAAAAAAAAGTTCGATAGGAAAATAACAATAAATTAAGATACTTTTATTTTATTTTATTGTATTCATATTGTATCGTTGATAAATGTTTATATTTTGTATTTTACAATAGTAATAGAAGTCCAAAAGTCTGAAATATATGTATAAGAACACACAGAAGTATTAAATAAAAAGACTGAGACAATGGAATAGAACAAAGTTAAGTCAATTGATAGTAAATCCTTAGCCTATTTACAAATATAAAAAAAAAAGATTGGTGCGTCAAGCTAGGAAAACCTAGTACAAAATAATGTGATAATCAACAATAAGTATATATATCCAAACGGTGCTCAAATACATAGATCGTAAGTTTAATATACATAGCCCTAGAATAAGGAAAGTACAAATAGGTTTAGTTACAACTAATATGTAATTCTTAACATAAAATATTTTGTAAACTAGTTATAAGGAAACGCCTATATTGTGATTATAGTTGTAAGACAGTGCAATGTAGAGGATATCTACGCACTTTAAAAAATAAAAAAAAAGAAGATATCGGTGGCGCCATTTTATAAAAACGATGGGAACTATTTTCACTACAAACTTGGGCGTTTTGCCACCGATGGCGCCACTGGGTACTAAAATCTGCTCACAGAGCAGCCTAGTGAGCTTTCTGGATGCACCTACTAGTACTTGAGTTAAAGAGGACCTATGGACCCCAATAGATCACCTAATGGGAGAATTATATACGAAGAGAGGTATCTAAGCAAATGCAAACCAATGTAAAGCAAGAATGAAATGAACGTAAAGTTAAATGGAAATTAATTCGGTCTTTTCATCGTTAGATGTCTCGCTGACCTGCGACTGCGCGAAATTTAAACTTAGTTATCCAAGCAATAGAGATAATACCTTCCAACATGTTTCCATATCCTTGGATACTATATTTCTTCAATAATACTTACGCATCGTTAGAATAACCACTCAATTTTCCTATTGTACAATTTCCATTGATTTAACACCTGTTGCCTTCCTAAATCACTTACAATGAATTCATTATTGCCTTTATGCATGCACCATTCATCCTATTCATAAATAGCTTCTGCAACTGCAACTTGAATAGATTGGTTCATCGGGAAAACACATTTTGATCGCTTACGTCAAGTTGCGCTCTGTAAACTTTCATTTGTAGTTTGTTTTAGACACTGCACAGCGACGAGGATAACTTTTCCTCGGCTGGTCTATTGCACGATGTTAAAATCATATCAATGAATTTTTCCGTGACAGATGTTCCAACATTACTATGA